GGGTAGGTATTTTTGTTAAGGAACAAGAGGTGTGTCGAATGCAGGCATTGCACTAGCCTGTCCTAATTTTCATACCAGTGTGTCAGCTTTGAGAATTACTCCTTCCTTTGAGGGAATGGTAAGGAAAGCTAGCACTTCCATACCTCTCGAGTTGTTTTTCGGAAACAGTTTTTGACTCTTAGCTGGGCACTGTTAGTGACTTCTTTTTTTCTTAAGCATAATACTTGTTTTCTTCTTTGGTTGTAACCTTAACAGCACTGTAGTGATGGTGATTTCTTTGCCAATATGGTGGTGGATGCCGCGCTGGCAGTTAAATACACAGACCAGAAGGGTCAGGCTCGGTATCCAATCAACTCGGTTAATGTTCTGAAGGCACATGGCCGCAGCCAGAAGGAGAGCATACTTGTGAACGGTTACGCCCTGAACTGCGTGGTGGGCTCGCAGGGTAAGAACATGCTGTGTTTCTTAAAGCTTTTGTGTGAACTTGGTCTTCTTAGTCTTTCTGCATGGATCTTCTTTCTGACTGCTTTAGTTACAAATCATGGGGCTTTTCAATTCCAGAACAATTAAACAAGAATGCAAAAAAACCTCAACCCCTACTTCACCAGTGTTTCTAGGCTAGGGTCTGCCAGCTAGTAGTGATCCATGAAGTGTTGGTAAGCTACTGTAGTTTCCCTATTTCAATATCAGCCCCGTGATCTTCTGGAACATAAGCACCTCCCTTGTGAGGAGCCAGCACCGGGGTTGTAGGGAGCTGTTAGATTTAGCGACCTGTGTTGTGATTAGTGAACTAAAGGATGCAAGACCAGTGGGTCAGCTTTTCATGGTCATTCATGTTTTGAGGATAGGGTCTGTAACAACAGGGGTTATAGAAGAGATTTAAAAAAAAATCTTTTAAAGTCTTTGTTAGCATTTTTCTGTTCTAGGGCAGAACTGGAGGCAGAGAAGCAAACTGAACAGCAACCCGAAATGTGAAAGTAGTGTTAGTTTTAATCTTTAATACTAACTTGATGTTCTGTTAACTCTATTTGACAAGATCCTTTTTCTTGTTCTCTCTCATCAGGTATGACCAAGAGAATAGTTAATGCGAAGATTGCATGCCTTGACTTCAGCCTGCAGAAAGCAAAAATGAAGCTTGGTGTTCAGATCGTTATCTCAGACCCTGAGAAGCTGGACCAGATAAGGCAGAGGTGTGTGGAAGCTTGAGTAACCGAGACAGTGGGGTTTCATTGGCTTACTTTGGTCTCTTCAGTTGAGGTGGCTTGGTGTAATTTTGACTAAGTGCAAGAGGTAAAAATGTTTTAAATGTTAACATTTCCCAACAATACCAAATATTAATGGTAAAAGTCTGCACTCATGGAGGCAGAACTAGCATTAAGTCAGTTTTTGGGAAATCCAAGTATGTTTGTGCAACGGTTTCTTCTCCTTGCAGAGCTCTGGATTAAGAGCTCAGGAAGTGGTTTGACAGAATGTGACTACAGACTTGTAAGTACATTTTTCTAACTTTGCCTTTATCCTTGCAGAGAATCAGATATTACCAAAGAAAGGATCCAGAAGATTTTGGCCACTGGTGCCAATGTTATTCTCACCACTGGAGGTATTGATGATATGTGTCTGAAATACTTCGTTGATGCTGGTGCTATGGCAGTACGAAGAGTTGTAAAAAAGGACCTTAAGCGTATTGCCAAGGCATCTGGAGGTATGTGTATGTAAAAATACCTTCTTTTTAACATGAGTTTTTTACATGCAAGAAGAGGACAGGTAGAGCTGAACCACTCCTAGGTTTTAAGTTTACTGTTGCTTCTAAGTGACCATTGTGTCAAAGTAGATGAGTACTGTAAGAGCTGACTGATGAAGGTTTACAGAGGGGAAAAAAAATGCTGCCTTGCACTGGCAAGATTGTGTTTTTGTGGAAATGTGAGCCAGAATCTGTATTTATTTAGAAGTCTATTAAGAACACATTCATAAGCCTCACTTTGGAGAGGTAAATACCTCGTTTAGACAGTTCAAGGCAAATAAAGAATTCCTAAATCTTTAAATACATACTTAAAAAAATTCTGGCCCTACACAGATTTTATCTGTCAATTCTTAAATTTGCAAGAAAGCATGTTCATTATGGTAAAGCACAGGAACTTGTAATAGTTGTGAAAAGGTAAGTGCTGTAAAAGTTGAGCAAAAAGAGCAGTATTGATTATAAAGTGTGGAATATTGAATTGCCACCTGAGAATTAGAGGTGCTGTAGAATTTAAGAAAAATCTGCTTATGCTGCTATTATTTCCGTTGTCAATTGATGTTTTTTCTCTCTGTATGCCTGTTCTGGAAAGTCAGCAAAGGATGCACTGGAATTAAGTGCTAATTTCACTTTTTTGTTTGTTTGTTAAAAGCAACCATATGTTCAACCCTTGCAAACCTTGAAGGTGAGGAGAGTTTTGAGGCATTAATGCTGGGACAAGCTGAAGAGGTGATTCAAGAGAGAATCTGTGATGATGAGCTGATTTTAATCAAGAAGTAAGAATCCTTTTTAAAATACTCAGTTTTGTGTATGCTTTCCACTAAGTTTGAGATAAAATCCCGTTTGTTCATTTC